GTATCTATTATAGCTATACCGATAAAACCCACTCGTAGACGTGCCTTATCTACCGGCCCTTAGTAATTACTAGGGGCGCCTACACGATAATCCCCGGTTATTCTTAGTTTATACTCTAAGATAATAGTATTAGTCGAGGAAGAGGACGAGCCTAAGAAGTATTAATACGCGCCTTTAGTAACGAAGACTTTTAAGGTAGCTATATTATTAAAGAAGAATTTCACGAGCATTAAGGGAATGGCTCTACTAGTGCGCTAGAAAGCGTAGATAGGTAACATGGCTATTCCGTATAAAGTCTACTATAAGTATTACTAAGACGTAGCTAGAAAGAATAATATACTCGTTAGCGTGTCCTACTTAAACCTAGTAGCGAGACTTAAAATAGTATATAAGTTTAGAGATAACGTGGGGGCCCTTAAAGTTTATAAGGACCGCTATACCTGGTTCGCGAAGTACACGCGGCCACCTTATCCGATAGAGGCATTAGATATCTATTATTACTAGGCCCTAGAGACCCCGAAGTAAGTTATTAATATTAAAACTATCCTTACTAGTATCGTATTTATGATTTAGAAGGAGGACGGTAGAATAGGTAGATAACTCTTCGACGAGTAGAAACGTACTAGAAGTATTAATATTAAAGGGCTCTTCGAGCTACTTAAAAAGACGACCTCTATACTTAATAAGAGTATTCTAGAACTCGCGAGGGATGAATTTAATATATATAAGTACTACTAGCGCATGTTTAATAAGAAATCGAACTACGGCTAGCTACGAACTATATACTACTCCTATATCTAATAGTTTATTAGGTAATATCTACTTTACTAGCTTACCTATATTGCTCTTCGGCCCGATCTTAACTACTATCTAATCTCGTACCCGTACTATGTGAAGTCCTAGAATAGGGGCGATAAGACAGGTTTTAAGCATCTCGATAACGCTATTAATCGAATTCTCGATCCTAGCGATAGACACGGGTTTAATATAATCTAGGGGAGTATTAGTCTCGACGATAAATAAAGTAACGACTATACTATAATTATTCCCCGCTCCTATAAGTTCTTAAATAAATAGTAGTCGAAGGCCAAGCTCCGCGAGGGGGTTAATTAAAATAGTATAATCACGGCTATTAACGATAAGATCTATAATACGGACGATAAGAAACGATTTAGTCCCTTTGTCCCGGTCCCCTACTAGTCCCTTAAAGTATATATCTCTAGCCTACTAATAATATACGGTGCCTAGGGTCCCGTAAAGGGTGGAAGACGTATAATACTTCTATAGTATATCGCGATTAGCCCTAATCATATAATAATAGAAGTGCCTGAAATAGGCATATAGGAATAACTCGCAGTAGCTTATAGGAATTTAACTCTAGGACCCACATCTCTATCGGGATTTTCTAATAAATATAGCGCGATTCCTTTTGCCTTCCTAGCTATAGTTTAACTCCCGAGTTTTAACGCCATTAGTAACGCATTAGTCGGCTATAAAAGATAGAATAGCTAGAAGGTAAAAGAAGAGGTAGCTACGTAGCTTAACGCAAGTCCTTAATAACTTAAAGCTAAGGTAGACGCCTAGTTTAAGGAGGGCTCGAGGGTATTCGTAGAGACCTTTAAGAAAATAGTAAGATAGGAAAGACTAGTCTATAGGGATAGGTCGTTCTAGAAGGAATTTAACGAGGCGCGCGCCGCTAAGCGGCTAATTAATTTTAAGAAATTCGAGTCTAACGCGGGCCTAGATAATATCGAAGAGAACTTCTATAGATAGGAGAGGCCTAATAAACTATCCGATAAGGAGGAATCTAACCTCTCTAAGATAAGCGATACGATTCTTTAGAAGCTAGCTCGCGACCTCGAGTACTAAGATTAGGCGCCTAAAAACCTACCTAATTATTAGTTAAGGGCTACCCTTAACTAATAATCTGGGCTAAGGTTTACCCGCGCCGAGAGCTTTACTAGGGGCGCATTTCATTTATATTAAGGTCTTTCTTTTAGGCGTTCTTCACACGGTTTCTTACACGGTTACTATACTACTAAGAGTAGTAGTTCTATAGGCCGGGGAGGTATATATAGAAGGCCGCTCCTACAGCCCTATATATATGTGTCCCTAGCTCGATTACATGGCTTTATTATATATTTAAGGAGGGCGTTTTCCTTGGTCATTCTGCTCGGCGCTTCCCCCATTACTAATATTCGACTATTCGACCTTTCCTTACGTTCATGGGCCTCTATAGGTATTGATTATTAGGCTTAGCTATTAAAGAATTAATTAAGAGTATTATATAGACCCGTCCTATCATAAAAGAGAACTAATAAGAAGTCGTACGTTTAAAGAGAACTTATAATACCTAGGAGAGATACTTATAAGTTCGTCGCGACTACTATACTAGAAACACAGCCATTTATAAAAGGGATACACGTGGCGATAGCTCACTATAATACTCTATAAGGATATATCTAGAGTCTCTAAATTAGAAGTATCTAATTTAGGAGAAATAAAGGAATTCCTAGGAATAGAGATTATAAGAGATAGAAAACGAAAATCTCTTATTATTTCCCAAAAGAGCTTTATTAATAAGATTATATCTAAATATAATAAAGCT